TTCATACCGAATCGCTGCACAAACACAATCATATGTGACTGATGATTCTCTGTCCATCAATGGAAGAAGAGGAAGGGATGATTGAAGTTTGGTTTGCACTGACTAATGACAGAATATGACCGAATTCGAGATGCTAACATCAAACAATACTACCAACCAAAAACACAAAAAACAGATAGCTTCGAAGAAACTTAAGTTGCTTTAAAAAAACTGATTTAGAGTAGCTTACAGAGTAGCCTACGACTTACGCTTAATCTGAGCAATAACAAAAGTAAATCGGAAACAACATATTAGCACGACAGGGCGCATTTGCTGGTTGGGCAGTTTTGTATAATATAGGCGAGCCGATTTAGTCCGATGGCAGGCAGGCACGTACGTAAGTATTGGAAAGTAGATAAGTGGAACAGTTAGGGATGTTTGCGGTGAGGGTTTAGTTTGCTGACTGTGAAAATACGACACGACTGAGGTTATGACCTCATCACTTTGAACAATCGCAAAAAAACAACTACGATAGGACAACTATTCATTCAGCAGTCATCATCATCATTCATCGTCACATCTGCTCATGCAACAGTCACTCTTTAAACCTTTTATGTTACACACCTTCACGCATAGTTTATTTGTTTTGATGTTATGTTATTTTGCGGACTTCGTTTCCTTGCTCTCATTAAAGAACAAGCAAAAACACCTCAGAATGAGTTTTTTGCTTCAATTTTCTCCCTCAAACTTATTGTCAACATGAAGAAAAACTCACAGTAGCAATCAAAGTAAAATGAAAAATTTTTCAATGTAATCAGGTAACAGAACCCTAAACCCATCATGTATCCAACATATCCCGCTACAATTCCATTCTGTTAGTTCGTTTATTTTCACTATCGCTGCCTTGTGTGCGATTGATAGAGAAAACGAATCTATCGGTCGTGATAATGACGATCATGCATACACGTTACACTAATCTGATTACTCATTCACCGCTCGTTACTATCGATGACGTCGCGTTTCGTATTTTTGAACATACGATTGAAACGTTGTGAAACAACTGACGACTAAACATTGTGCGCATTGCTACTTCCAATTCACGATGGTTTCCCATGAATTATTTTTAAAACATGATGGTTCCTAAAGATATATAATTACCGATAAGAACCAGTATATATCAAAATCTAGTAGGAAAATTCATCAACACACTCATTCACTCACTCACTCACAAGACAATAACCACTCCGGAAAGTTTCATTATTTTGAAATCGGTTTATCCACTTCTGATGATTCACTTCAACTCATCTAGGTGGCAACTAGTTATTTGTTTATGATAAACCTTATAGACAGGTACTATAAGTCAAAATGATTGGTTTGCGTTGCTTTGAATAGACATTCTCCGCTTCATCTGCAGCGATCACTGTTTTCTTCTGAAGGTACAATCAAGATATTTTTGAAAAAAACATTGAATATGCACTTATGTTGTATATGAATATCTATTTGCTACTCACTCCTGCCTTGAGAGCGACTTATTTTTCAAGTTCGAATATCTTGGAGATTTGGAACTGGAACTGAGATTCACAAGCAAAAATTGAACAAGTTGCCGAGTGGCATACAACTGCCAATTGTATCTGTTACATCTGTTACGTATGTGGTGAAAATTTAGGAGTTAGCAAAAATTACAACAGATGGGAAAAACAGACGTAAAAACTTTAGAACGTGAGAATTTGGCTAACATATAGCTGGAAAAGTTCCAAGCTATAACTATTTCAATGACATAAATTTTATTCATGGTGAGAGAACGAGCAAAACCATAGACTTGGGCCTTAAAAGCCTAATTGAAAAATGCATACATTTTGAATGGATAAGTGGGAAAATTGTTCGAAGCTTGAATCATCGTCATCGATGAAAATATTTTCACAAAATCATGGGGCACTGCCGTGCAGAACAAAACATCCGAACAAACAAACGAACGAATAGATAAAAATTTCGTTAAAACATGAAAGTATTCATTTACGTTCGGTATTCGTTTTCAGTCACACTTAACAGACTGATGGGAAGGGCTGAATCGCTAGTTGGGATGATTCTTTCGGAATGTTTCTGGCTCTTTAGTGTGCAACGATAAGTTGTTGCCGGCATGCAGCATAAAAACATCATTATACGATTCATCATTATAATTGCTCACTTGCTTGTCGGTTGTTCGTCTCTCTCATTCACTCAATCAATGAACTGATGAAGTGCGTGCGCAGAATAATAGG